GCCTCGCATGCGGGAAGCCCTAGGAAATAAAGAACCAGAGCTGTGGGCCTTAGCCTCCTGACACGGAGCATCACAGCTGGTATTTCACACAAAACTCCCTACATCCTCAGCACATCCCTGAACCAATGTTACCAGGGGCAAAGAGAGGCTCAGAGAAGCTCTGTGATGTGCCCAAGAGCACTCAGCTAGGAAGAGGCAAGGCTGAAGAGCAGGGCCCAGGAGAAAAGACTGTGGCTCTTCCTTGCATTTCTGAGCAGCTCCCCAGTAAGAGAGACCTAGGCCTAGGCCCACAAAGACCACAGTGTACAGAAGTGGAAGGAGCTTGACAAATCATCAGGGCTGGCTCTGTAGGAGCTTGACAAATCATCAGTGGCTCTGTAGGTTCGAGTGTCGTCCCATACACCAAAAGTTTGTGGGATTGATCCCCGGTCAGGGCGTGTACAGGAAGCAGCCGTTCGTTTCTCTCTCTCCCGACACACGCACCTTCCTCTCTCTCTCTAAAAAAAAAAAACCAATAAAAATATATTTTGGGGTCAATATTAAAAAAAGAAAAAGAATCCTCAAGGCTGCAGAGAGAGAAGCTCATCCCCTGCCCTAGGCCCAGAGGGGTGTGTTTTGTCTCCAAGAAGATGCAGAGCACCCACTCTCCAGAAAAGCTGGGGGCATCACAGTTGGGAGAGCTTCTCTCAGTAGTGTTTAGGGCGCCAAAACCTAGAGGTGCAGCCTTAGAAGACACACCCCTTGCTCCTTTCTGCTCACAGAACAAGCACTCTGTGCCAGCTTACACAACGGGGCTTGTGGTGCCCCACACCACGGTGGGAGCTCAGGCACTGGAGACACTGAGGGCTGCCTCTCAGTGATCGCCGTGACGCCAACTTCAGCATTCTCCGGAGGCTCTGCCTGCTGTGGTCAGTGGAGTGGGCAGTGGATTCAGGAGGCAAGTGTCCTCAGGCTGCTCTCTCTATGCTGCTTGAATCTGCCCAGAATCGAGGGTGTATTTGCATGGTCCTTGTTCAAATATCTCAAGATGGAAACTCAGGGCAAAATGGATGTTTAAAACTCTAGAACTGGTGCCCAGGGATGTCTGTTGCCCTCTGCATGCCCTTGGCAACTTACAAGCTGTGTGACTTTGGGCAAATCGCTCTCCCTCTCTATGTCTTGCTCTCCTTCATTAACAAGAGATGTCAGCACATGTCTTTCCTGGGTTGCTGTGAGGATTAAATGCAGGAAGGGTGCAGAGTGCTTGGCACCCAGCATAGTTTCAGTGAAGGCTGACTCCATGGGAGGGGTCTCAGCAGACAGCACAAATGTAAAGCAGACGATGCTGCGGTGGGTGGCCAGAGGCAGGGCAAGCCAACCCTCCATCCAAAATCCACAAGACGGCCCAGAAATTCAGCCACTTATTCTGCAACAGGCACTGAGTAACCACCGGTTTAACCAATGCTGAGCTCCACAAATGGGAGCTGGGGGCACAGACAAATGAGACCTTATCGCTGCCTCCAAGAAGCTCACTGAGTTTTAGGAGGGACTCTGCTCAGTGGGATCAGAGTGACAGAGGGCGGCAGAGGGCCCGGGCAGGCCCTATGGAGCGCCCTAATCCAGGTAGAGGGGGCCTGGAGGAGGGGCACCTGGACTAAGTTTGAAAGGTAAGTAGGAGAGGAGCCGGTGATGTAAGAGTTTAGGCAGGAGATTCGACAGGTGCAAAAGCGCGGAAAGGAGAGGAGGCGGGGATTAACACGTCAGGTGACACGGGGGGTGGGGTTGGGGCTGCTGCCTGAAGACAAAGATAGGAAGGCATCTATTTCACAGCGTCAAGACGATTGCTAGAGCCTGCAGGCTCATCATTTTGATTTCCCAGGAAGATCCCAGGTCTCCTGGAGGCGCTTCAAGACCGGCGCTGCAAAAACCTATTCCTCCAGCCCGGCTGGCGCGCTTCTCCAGGGATGCGGGGCGCAGGGAAAAGGCTCCTACACCGCCGGGGTCTCGCCTCCGCCGCCCCGCCCACTGCTGCTGCTCTCCGCCCTCTCCTGGCAGCGCCCTGCCAGTGCACCGGCGTCGGGGACTGCCGGCCTGCTGAAGCACCTGGGTTCACAGCCAAGCCTGCGCCTTTGGGATAAGCAGTAGTGCTGCCTATCCTTTGCTGCCTGAACCTGGCTGACTCCGCAGAGGGAGAGGAGGCTGGAATGGTGGGCAGGTTGGGTTGAAGGTCTTTATTCTGAGGGCAGTAAGGAGCCATGAAAGGCGTGTGAGCAGGTTAGAAACATGAGCAGGTCTGTTAGTGCAATGTTCATTCTGCTTCGGAGAACAGCCTAGAAGAGCAGGGCATTCAGGAGCATGGGTTGCATTGACTGGAAGGGCTACAGGGAGCAGGGGTCCACTGAACCCACTGGGGTACGTAACGATGGTGAAAGCCCACAGAAAAAGGACAGAACTTGGGGTTCACACCAAGGGGAAGGAAGGAAGGCAGGCCTCCCCACCCCCCGACCCACAGTTGGTCTTTTCACCCCAGAAAGCACCCTCAAGGCTCCAGAAAAGACGCAGACCAGTCTCTGGAGAGTCATCAAGTCACAGGCCTATTGGAGAACTGAACAATTTCCCCTTCCTGGAGACCTGTGGACGTGGACCCCTATGATCCAGCAATAGGACATTACTCTTCTCACCAGGCCAGAGCTTCCCATCTCAAACCCCATAGGCTAACTAAACATCCTGTTTCCTCACATTAGCCTGGAACAGTCACAGACTGTCTCATACCTCTGCGTGCTTTGATCAGAAACAGAAAGCAACTTTATTGATTAATGCAACTTGGTTGAAAAAGTCTCTCAAAACATTAAGCTTAAGATAAAACAAACTGTGATTTAAAAAAAAAAAAAGAGGGGCTGATTAGCCCCATGGAGCCATACTGATAGGTCAGGGGTCCAGGGAGGGCAGGGCGAGCGAGGCTGAACGAAACGAGAAGCCAGGACTTCTCCTACCCTCCCAGGGCTTCTCTATCATTGTGGCCCTGGGGTCAGGGCCAGCCTTGGGGTGGCTGATAGCTTCAGCCTGTAGGCCAGGCTAGTGTCAAATCAGGGCATCATTAGGCCCAGAATGAAGTCAACGCCTGGTTTTGTGCTGCTATCACTATGCCTGTAATGCAGTAACTGAAAAATTCCCACAACTGTGCCCGCCCTGGTGCTTTTCAACAGAGCAGACCCCGGCCCTGGACCCCTGGCCACCACACTGATGAGAACAGAGCATTACGTCTCGATGATCCTCCTGCTACCTGCCCTGGGAGGATGCTGGGGCGCCCTTGCCCACAGGCGAGACAGGAAGCAGATCAGTCTGTTGTCCTGGGTGCCAGTCTCTCCCTGGACAGAGAACAGGGTGCTGCTCCTCACCCTGGAATCCTTCATTCCAGGTCCCTGCCCTCTTTGTCCTCTCCTGGGAGCGCCTATCTTACCTAACTCATTCTTGCCCCCTAAGAGGCAGGTGAGACCCTAACTTCTCCAGGCTTTCTCCCACCATCCTGGCAGCCCCCCTCTTCGCTCTGTCCCAGTCCCAATGCCACCGACAGTGTCTGTCTGTTTCTCCTACTAGTGCCCATGCTCCTCATGGGCAGAGCTGGTGATTGCCAGGCTCTGTATCTATTAGAGATGTAGGATGATTTTTTTAATCTTCACCCATGGACATGCTTATTGATTTTAGAGAGGGGAGAAAAGAGGAGGAGAGAGGGAGAGAAACATGGATCAGTTACTGCCTCTTGTATGAGCTCTGACCAGTGATCGAACTGCGACCTTTTAGTTTATGGGACGAAGTCCCAACCAACCGAGCCACACCAGCCAGGGCAGTTGTAGGATGATTTTTAAATGAAGGAGAAAATGAAGTGAGGGGAAGAGCCCCAAGACCCTAAAACCATGTCTCACTGCAGGAACCATGAAAGGAACTGGGGAAAGGAAATGAAAAAGACATCTTTACATTTTATGTGTCTGCATCAGATTTTCTTAATAGTAATGGCAACAATAAATGAACCAAGTCCAGCTTAAGCCTCTCCCTTGATACGTGAAAAGGGGAAGGGAGCAGAGGAGGGCACAGTAAGCACACAGCGGACGTAGGCTGGAGGCCCCCAACTCCCTTACCCAACATTGTCCTCCACAAAGATTTAGAGAGTGAATACACCTTCCACAAGGATTTCCATTGCTCATTTTATTTCAACAGTCAACTTGTCCCCAGAGAAGAAATTGCTGACATCATAGGTACTTTGGAAGCACCATTCTATTCTCAGAGAACTGCATGAGTGCTTACAAATGGCCCACTTTTTTAAGTTGGCAATCACTATAAAAACACTAAATAATAAAACTTTAATAGATTTTTAAAAAACTAGAAATGATGCCTATAAATGGCTTAAACTTTATGGAGGGGAGGTGAAACAGCCCCAGTGGTCACCGTGCTTACTGGTAAAACCCCTTGGAGGAAGGGCGAGGGGCCGTGGCCAGGTAGGCTCCAGGGACAGGGCAGCAAAGAAGGACACTCCAGAACCTGCTGTCAGTGCCCTGGCCCTGGCTGCTCGCCCTGGCCACCTGGATGTGCTGGGCGCCTGAGGTTGGTGCTGCCCCCGGCTGGGGACTAGGCAGAGGCAGAAGGCTGAAATACATGGCGCCTTCTGTCCTGGAGTGGGGTCTGAGGAAATCAAAGAACGCCTCTGAAGGCGAGTCTCACAAAGGGTAGCACAACCCAGAGATGGTTAAATTCATTCCTAAACATGAGTTTCCATCAGCCACCCCCTCCTCAGAGCCCTGGCCCGCCCCTGGGAGCTTCCTCCTCCCTTCTCCTGTTCAAGCTCACATCTCAGGATTGAGAGAAACTTAGAAACCATCCTCCTCCTCCTCCTATCTTGAAGTGAGAGTTAACTCTATCTTACGTCTATCACTAGCCTCCCTCCCTATATATCAATGAACACAGACAAGAAAATCATCGCTGCCACACCCCGCACTGCCCCACTTTGCTGGCCCGAGGGCCTGGGCCTAGTCGGACTGCTCCTGAGACGATGGCTGGTTGGGCTCCTGTGGCACCTCTGCATCCTGGTCATCTGCAAAGAACAAAGAGAGGCTGGATTTAGAAGTGGGAAAAAATACCTATTTTTAAGGTGAAAGTTTTCTACAAGGCATTCTCATCATTCCCAGGCCCCAGGGGGAATTAATTTGCCTTTAATTTGCTGGGTGCCAGGAGGCTGGAATTCTAGTCCTCAAATGACACAGGCTCAAGTTCAAACTCCGGTCCTGCCTGTCACAGGCTGGGTGGCATGAAACAAGCTACCGAAGCTCTGAACCACAGCGCCTCCTCCTGTCAAATGAGGTGACACCTACCTTGCAACATCAGGCCAACACAGGGATCAGGTAGAACAGTAAGTGAGAACTAACTCTCACTAATGTCTGCATCATTTCAGGTTCTGTTTAATCTCAGAATGGCCTCATGAGGTAGGGAACATTCTTAGTCCACTTTTACAGATATTGAAACTGAGGCACCAAGGAGTGAATTAACCTGCCCAAGGTCACATGGCTGGTAAGTGCTGGAGCCAGGCTGTCCAGCACCAAGGCGAGCATGCTTCAAGCCACACTGGGCCACCTCTCCAGCTAACACACCTAGACATCTCACACACAGCAAGTGTGCAACAGGCCTCAGTTTCCTCTTCAATAAAATGAGAATGATAGATATTACCAGACTAATCCAGCTCATGCGCCTTTTCTGAGTCACTTTAAAGACTCTGCTGAGTCTGCCAACCCTTTACAAATCACTTCTTTTCCTGAGAGGCCTCAGGGGAGGGTTGAAAGCAATTTAAAAAAAAAAAAACAAAATAAAACCCTGAACGTAAAAGTAACACAACCCAGAGATGTTGAATTCATTCTGCAAAGGGCCCTTAAAAGAAAACCCAAAGCATTTTCATATGCGAAATTTCAGTTGACCTTCACAGTATCCCAAGGAAGGGGCGCATTTTACAGATAAGAAGGCTGAGACCTAGAGAAGGGTTTGTGACTGATCAATCTCACCCAGTGGGCCAGTGGCAGAACTGAGAAGGGCAGGGTCTCTGGCTCCTGGTCAGGTTCTCTCTCCGGAGTGGCCTGAGGAGAGGAATCATCCCTACCAGACCAAAACTGGCTCCTGCTGCTGCTCCATGCTGAGCATTTGCTGCTTCCCCCACTAAAGAGGCCCGGCACCTCTGTTCTAAACACACAGTCCTGCCTTCCTCCACATCTCTGCCCATGGGCCCTAAAGAGCCATCTAGGGTTAGGGCACTGGAGCCAGACAGAATTCTGTTAAAATCTGAGCTATGCCATTTACATCTATGAGAACCCCTCAGGGTTCCATTAGTTTCCTCAGCTGAGATGGGGACCCACCTCCCTTAATGCTTGTGTATGGAATTCAGGGGGGTGTAAGGAAAGAGCTTATCCCAGGCCCAGCACATTTTAATTCTGTTCTCCATTTCCCCTCTCCCCACATCTACTTCCTCTTAGCCCCCCTTCCTCCTAAAAGGCTTCCTGGCTCCCCCACACACTAGAAGACTGGTATTCACTTACCAGTGGTCTCCTGGTCCGTATCAGAATGGATGACCAGTGAGAAAGGTGCAGGTGGTGGCGGCGGTGGCAGCGGAGGTAGAAAATGGATCGCAGAGAGGAAGCCTGGTGGGAGGAACTGGGGCTGTGGTGACAGTGGCGGCGGCGGCAGCAGGGGCGGCGGCGGCGGCAGCAGAGCTGGCGGTGGGGCGTAGTTTGGCTGGAAGTCTTCCCCTGGCTCTGATACCTGCATGGCACACTCAGCAGAGAAGCCAGACAGGGGAGAGGGTTAGCCAGACGGGCTGACCAAACATGTCTTATCCTCCCAAATGGGGGGCTACCCATGGGCTAGATTCACCTGTGTGGTCCGAATACCTCAACTTGAGCCATGTGAAACAGGGTGTTCAGCAAACACCCACCTAATGATTGAAAGCAAGGGGCGCAGGCACATCTCAGGTAAGCCTGGGGAAGAGCCACATAGTGAGTGACGGGGCCCTTCTGTCTATGCTTAGACCCATTACGTCATTTCATTCATCCTTATGACCAGAGGAGGGTGGTTCCCTTACCATCCTCACTGTAATGATGAAAAATAGCATCGGTGGAATGACGCTACAGCCCCTGGGCCACAGAGCTGGTGAGTGACTGACGCAGGACTGGACCCCACTGCTCTGCACTGGGCAAGGGTCCACATGGCTTCCCAACCACTTGAGGTCCTATCTTCTGGCACACGTAATGACTTAGACTCAAGAGTCAGGGGGTCTTCGGGGGCCTTATTCTAACAGGACAGAACACCTGGGTGTAGCGCAGCTATTACTGAGTCAGGGAAGCTGGGTGACCTCAGGAACGTGGCTTCAGCCATCAACCATTCTGTGCTTCTGTTACTTCTTCAGGAGATGGCAGCTAACCCCATGCCACGGGACCCCAAGGCTGGAAGGGAGGGATCTGGAGGGGTGATGACTGCAGAGCTCAAAGTTTAACTGAGGAAGACATGCGTGTAATAAAAAATAATAATGAATTTCAGATGTAGTTCCTGTTATTTATTCTGCATCCAGATACTTCAGAGCAGCATACTACAAACTGTGTTCCAGAGAATCCTGGTATCCGACAAGGTATTTTTAAGTGCTTTTAATATTCTTTGCAAAGGGAGTTTGAGAAACCCCACATACTGCTCACACAATGGTGAGTCACACGTGAGCACATTAAAGCCCCGGAGCAGTCTGCAAAAATCTTTGATTAACACAGCATTCCCTAACTTAATTTGACCACGAAAAAGGAAGGAAAGCCTACTTTTAAGTGCCTAGTATATGCCAGACCCTGTGCTAGGCACCTTATTTATCTATCAATGGCCCTAAGAGATAGGTACTCTTACCCCCATTGTACAGACGAAAAACCTGAATGAGGTCCTCCGAAGTAGGTGACTTCCTGGGCCATAGAGCTGGTAAAAAGAAGGACTGGACACCAGGACTGTCCAACTCCAGGCCTGTGATCTTTTGTGGGAAGAGAACAGAGGAAGCAAAGAAGCAGCAGGTAGGACAGAGACAAGAAGAGAAGGCAGAAGACGTCCCTGGAGAGTATATGGGTCCTGGGCAGGGGAGCAGGGCAAGGATGAACGCAATTCACAGGCTCTTGGGTTTGAAACAGCTTTACAAATAAGTGCTGGGTCTTCTATACAGACATGAAGTGGGTAGGAGGGGGATTATCAGTGTTTTCATTCCAAGCTACTCAGCCAAGTTTCTCCCTGGATCACAGCTCCTGCCTGGGGCCTGTGGTGGCAGCACGGCCCAGATGAACCAACTGAGATCACACTCTTAACAATGGCCGTCTGGCAGGCCTGTCAATCAGAGCCCTGCTCTGGACGCGGGGCTCCAGGCTTCTGTGTGAGCAGACGGTGGGTGCGTGCTCCACTTGGCCAGGACCCCTCTCTTTGTGCGGAGGCTAGAAATGCTATGCTGTCCCTGGGACTGCAAAGGGGTGGCCACCATCCACAGATTTCAGGCGGTGCGGGGGGTTTGTTTACTCTAACCTTGTCTGAGAGACAGGCTTAGGGTAGCAGAAAGCACCTGGCTCCAGAGTCCTGGCAGCCCAGGTATACATCCTGTTTCTGTTACTGACCTGCTGTGTAATTTGGATCCCAGTCCCTCACTCACTACTTCTGTGACCTTGGACAAATCTACAACTTCTCCAAGCCTTCTTCCTCCACTCTACAATGGAATAATAACACATACCTTGAAGGCTCAAATAAAGGTCAGTAGACGCCCTAGAAATCATCAAGAACAGTGATTTTCAGACTTTTCCCACTTGAATCAATGGAAAATGATTTATAAATAAAACTTCACAGTATCTAAAACAGAGAGAAGAGATACAACTGAGGCTGAAGCAGGAGTGGGGATCCAGCACCCCGTGCGCCTGACCTGCCTGGACAGAGTTAGAATTCCATTGTACTGGCTCCACATTCTGCGGCTAATGACCCTCATTATGTATATGTCAAGCTTTCTTCTTTTTTCTGTATCACTTTACACATTAAACCAAACAAACCTGTTCTCTCCTCACTCTTCTCCACCCTTCACTCAAGGGAAACCCCTCTCTAACATCTAGGGGAGGAGTAAAGGTGCTGGTGGCCTGCATTTCCATGAATGGGAGCCGCATTTGAGCCATCCTTCTCCACAGGTCCAGCCTAAAGGGCCCGAAGTCAGGACTGGTCACACAGGCCTTTCACTATCCTGCCTGCAGTCCCGGCGGCCCTCAGGAGTTGCCAAAAAGGAGATGGCTTTAAACTGTCCTGGTCTGGTAACCACAGCCACAAAACCCGGTCCCCCAGACTTTCACCTCATACACCAGGATGACCTGACTTACTATTTAGTACTCAAAACTCCCTGCTTACAGAGCCCACCAGTTTTTAACTGACCACTGCTCTTATAAAAGGATTAAATTTCATTCCTTCTTTCAACACATATTTCCTAAAGTGACAGGTGTTTGGGGAAAGGTTTCCATATTTTCCATGACTAACCTTAAACACCAATTCCTCCTGAAAGTCCTCTGTAGTCTCAAGTGGGCCATGCCTTTGGGTAGGGGACCTATGTCTGCTCCTGCCTCTGCACGAAACTGCATGGCCCTAGGAAAGTAGTATTTCCTTTCTGATACTCAGCAAAATGAAGGGTCCGTCTAGCATCAGTATTCCAGGAGTCCAGGCTGGTGGTCACTCAGTCAGTGTTCCCAGACTTACCTGAGATGTGTCTGAGCTCCCAGAGCTTTTTAGCCTTCAGCTCTGAAAAGCAAATGCCACGGCCCAGACCGACCTGTCTACACGATTGGACTTCTCTACCCATGTGCATTCCCAGAGGGGCACACTGCACAAGGAAGCCAGCTGGCTTCCTGAAATTGAGCACATATATATTTAAGAGTAGCAAGAGCAAATAGGATAAGGAGAAACCTGGAAAAGAGTGCGGATGGCACTCACCGAGCCTCCTCCATGGTAGTGGCTGTAGGACACATGCCGGAAGCCCTGCTGCAGGGGGATCCCCAGGCCTGGGGATACATCCTGGTAGCCCAAAGGGAATGGGCGATAGGGGTGCACGCTGGAGCAGCTGGGATACAGCTTGGAAGGATCTCTCTCCAGGTACTCAGACCCCACCACAGAATCCGAGTTGATGTTCAAAGAGAGCCCTAAAAAGGCAAGCAATGAGGGAAGTATTAAAAACACAAAGAGCTAGGAAAAAGAGCATGACATTACTATCCAAAGACAGAGGTACGGTAAACACTCAGATCCATTTACAAAAAACTCCCAAATCCATTATGCTTTTGAACCTCCCCGCTTTTTAAACCTTTTACCCACGTCCCATTGTTCAAAAAAGTCCTCGGCACAGCCATGAGGCCCCATGCAGGCTGATTCCCGCCTGTGCTCCAGCCTCATCCAGTGCTGTAAACCAGTAGTTTCTTCTTTCTCATCCACCTCAAAGCCTTTGCAGATGCTGTTCCTTCATCTTGGAAGGTTTTCTCCCCTAAACCCATTTTGCCTCCTAAGCACTCAATCTCTACTCTTCCTTAGCACCACAGCTAGACCATTAACTATTAGAGCTGCGTATGTTGATTTGTGTGATTCTTTGATCAGTGCCTCTCACAAGGACAAGCTCCTTGAGGGCAAGGTGTCAGACTCTCCCCCCATCACCTTTTCATCACTAGTGTCCAGCACAGAGTGAAGTGCTCAGTCCCTGTTTGTTGAGAAAGGGAACAAAGGGAAGCACTGTGTCCGTGGAAAGGTATCCTTCCCCTACAGGATTGCTGTTCTCTGGGGAGATTTTCCAAGTATATCCCAGAAGGCAGAAATGGCCTTCAAGGAGCATCCAGGCCAATCCCCTTGACATACGGAAGGACGGAGCTGGCCGAAGGTGGCAGAGCCAGCAGCCGCCCCGCGCCGCGTCTCCTGACTCAGACCCGGGCTCCTTCTATCACGCGTCACAGGAAAAACCAACAGGAGTCTGTGCTCGAAAACAGCCGTTTTTGTAAGCGCCTCAAATCTACATATGACTTAAAAGTTGTACTTTAAGACTGAAAGCATAATTTACATAGGAACAACGTAATTTATGCACATGGTCAGCAGGAAAAAGTAGACAGCATCTCAATGAGCCAACTTTTTCCTCCAGGGTGGAGCAAAAAAGCTGTCCCATTCCCACCCACACCCAAGGAAAGGGTGGGAGAAGAGATGAAATGGGGTGCGCAAGGCACACTGGGCCAGAGCTTGGATGAGAGGAGGGGCCTCCAGATTGCAGAAAGGGGAGACGGGTGGGCAGGCGCAGAAAGTCCTATAGAGAAAGGGAGTGGGGTGGGGAGAGGCTCCCCACCCAAGGAAAGGGCGGGAAACGTTGCGCAGGCAGACTGGAGCAAGGCAGAGTTGAAGAGAAATCTTCTGGAAAAGGCCTTCAGCTCTTGGAAAAGGGGGAAGATTGCGCAGGCGCAGTTATCATTGAGCTGGCCCACCCACAGAGGCGCTCTGGGAGGGGGGGAGGTGTCTCCAGCGCAAAAAAAAAAAAAAAAGAAAGAAAAAGGCGGGAAGAGGAGCGCAAGCGCAGTACGGCCAATGTCGCCGGGAGGAGCCCCAGCTAAGGGGGCTGGAGGCCATTTTCTTCTTGCAAGATAGAAAGGCGAAAGTTGTAGCTAAGTATTAAAAACCGTCTGCACCCCCCACTCCTTTCTAACTCTTTTACCATTTTGAAAAAAGGCACTCAACCCAAATCCGTATTTAGAGAAAGTTTTCTCAAAGGAGGTTTACCTCAGAAAGCATTCCCCTCCCCCCGCCCGCCCCAAAAGTCCCATTCAGGGACGCCAACATGGGGTGCGGCGAGACTGCAGACCTGAGAGGAATCGGTGGCAGGGGAAGTTGGCGTGGAGGCTGGGAATCTTACCGAAGGCGAATGGCGAGCTGGGAATGGGCCGCAGGGGCCTACGCATCTCCATGTGGCCGGAACTTCCCGTGCCTGCGGCCTCCGCCCCGAGCTGGGGCCCCGCAAAACTGGGAACGGCCACAGCAGCTTCTTCGCTTGCACCCGTGTGGCCGCCGCCGGCTGGAACTGGCTGGAAGGCGCTGGGGCCAGGACTTGGGCCGCGCGGTGGTCTTTCCAGCACGTAGGTGGCCGCACGGTCCTCAGGGCCCGGCTCCGCGTCTCCCGAACTGGCAGGCGGAGGAGGTGGACGGAGGCTGGCAGCTGGGGCGATGGCTTCGGCCCGGGGGGCTCGTTCCTGATCCTCGTCCGAGGCCTGCTTCCTGAGCATCTTTTGAGCGGCCATGATCTTCTGGCGTTCAGTGATAAGGTAGCACTTCTCGCAAGTGCACTGCTTCCAACGACAGTTGCCCGCATGGCCCTTGACTGCCACCAGGAAGCCATGGTTCCGGCACCGCGAGCATTTAGGGGTGCGCAGCATCTTGTCGGCCAGCTTGGCAGTGTCTGCCTTCATAAAACAACCGCCACCTCTAGGAGCTGCCGAGCAAGTGAAGCGAGGAAGAGCAGAGCCCCAGAAGTCCCTGGTGCTGGGGACATTGGATACACTTGTAACAAAGTTGTTCTCAGTACATCCCAGGAACTGCAGCAAGACCCCTTGTATTTTCTCAACTTTGGGAGAGGGGGTGGTGCAAAATTTGGAGTTTCTGTGCCCTGATTAATCAAATGCAAGGGGTTGGGTTGAATAAATTCTGTATAGAATGCTATTGCATGTATGTCATCTGGGTTATCTGATTAAATATTAAATATTTAATTTTCGGAAATTTATATTCTTGTTACCCAGAAGACAAGGTATTTTGTAACTTCAAAAAAGGTGGAGTAATATTCAACAGTCCACAGATTTAAAACTCCAGAGGAATGTAGCTCTCAGTAAACCCATTCCAGTAGAAAAGCTTCCTAAGATACAAACCGTGTTTCTCCTTCCAAAAGCTGCTGGAAAATTTCATTTCTCGCCCCTGCAGAGAAGCAGCTTTCACAGTGATGCTTCCAGAATATCCTAAAGAGCTCAGAGCAGTGTGATAGTTGCTCAGGGGTGTGTCCTGATAGTTTCAATGTAAGACGCTTCATTTCTGGAAGATGGCGTGTAGCTAGCTGTGATGCCTTCCAAAGTAAAACATACTTACAACCATTTAAAGTAAAATAAACCTAGGATATTTTAGCATGGGTTTGAATTATTGCTTAACTTTGCCACAAATTTAGTTATACCTGTAAAGTAACCCAAATCTTAGGGCGCCTGAAAAGATGACATGAATTTCATAGTTTTGCAAGGCTACTAAATTACTTCATTTGCTTTTTTGATAGCAATTTGTAACACCCTGAGGTTTTTTTCTTTTTTAAGGCCCCTAAAAAGAAAAAAATAAAATGGGCCACTCACACCTAACTTGAAAGCTTATAATCATAGAAGCAATCGTGTTTATGAGGGTAGTTATGGTTAACGCCTGACTAAAACATGTGCACTTTACATTGCCCTTTCTCTGAAACTCTGGGAGAAGAATGTTCTGTAGAAGCTAAGGCCTAACTAGTGTCCTTCTTGATTTTCCTGTGCCTCTGGTTGCAGCCGAACTATATATTTTTCACCAGCTGCCAGAGAATAGGAAATGTTTGCCAATCTGAGGCTGATTAGGTACTGAAAGGCTAAATAGGAGATTGTGAAACCTTTTTTCTCTTTTTTTAAATTAAATTTAATTTTATTTATTTATCTTTAAAGTTTTTATTTATTTATTTTTAGAGGGAAATATCAATGTGTGGTTGCATTTCACACGCCCCCTGCTGGGGACCTGGCCTGCAACTCAGGCATGTGCCCTGACTGGGAATCAAACCCGTGACCCTTTGGTTTGCAAGCCGGCCCTCAGTCCACTGAACCACACCAGCCAGGGCATAAAAGCTTTTTTTCTGCTTGAAAGAAATATATTCATATCTCATTAAGAGGGCAAGAGTATATCCTGTATTATTTGGCCCTTCAGGAATTTCACTGGTAATTTTACATCCATTTAAAGAGATCTAGGTTTGTCTCTGATAAAAGGACAGGCAAGTTCTTTTCTGACTCCACCCAATTCAAAATAATTTTTTCACTGACTGCCATTTAAAACGGTACTTAAAAATCATAGTTTTGGTACTACTGTCAAAAAATCTGGGGCATAAGCTTCATTTTTTTCCTGATACTGCAAATTTAAGGTCACTTTCTGCATTATCAAATTTAAATTTTTAACATTAGATGACATAGGGTGATAAGGCCTAAAAAAAGAAAACCACTCTCATTTATATTTCATGTTTGACCACCCAAGTTCTCTTCATTTTCCTAATAATGATTTAAAGGGAAATCCTATGCAAAGGCAACTCTTTGAATTAACATATTTTAGCCTTGTTAACTACAAAATGCTTTTATATTTACTTCATAGCTTTAGGAGTAAAATATACCCAAGGTGATGTGAATTTGCATAGTGCTTTAGAACATTAATAAGCATATGTCTTTTTAATCAGTAATCACGTTGTAAGATGAAGAAACCCCAAGGTTTGTATAGTAAATAATTCTAAGAGGGGGGAAAAAAAGACTAATTTATTTCTCTTCCCCACTGAAGTCTCAATTTATATAGGTAAATTCCAACAGAGCTTTATTTATTTCACTCTTGGAAATTCAGGAAAATTGATAGTTTTGTTTTATTTAGCTTGAGAACTGATTACTTCTTAGGCTGCTGCTTTTTTAAATGTATACATTTCTTTAAATTGTTACTTTAAAAGATGGTAACAGATGGTAACGACATCAAAGTGAAAAACTGAAAGTCAAAAGGATAGGAGCAATAAGTACACAACAGTCCCCTTCCTTCCCCACACCTAAACCTTAGGAAATTTATATTTAAGTCAGTCTGCATCATCATAAGCAATGATTTATGAAATAACAAGTTATAGTTGCTGAGGAATCAGCAGTTTGATTAATTCACCATAAAGGGGCTGGTTGTTGGTCATATCTGACTCCCAGCTTCAGTAATGGCCCCCTTTCCCTCAGAGTCCCAAGTTTCCTACTTTGAATAATGCCTCTTCTCTTTGCTCAATGTGGTTGCTATTGGTACTGATTAATTCATATGCATTTTAAAGGGCCCTGTATTATACAATGCATGGGATATCATTTATAATCATTAAATATCGTGTGCACTGTAATGTTTCCTTAATGTGGCACCCAAGAGTAAGGAAGGCCTTTTTTGCCAATAGCATCTTTCCCCCAGCAACAGATAACCCAAATTATCTGCGATCTGCCCTTCTTTAGGCTTTCTCAAGCGAGCATTAAAACTTCACTGAAGTTTTTGTAGGAGATGGAGGGGAGGATTTACATGACACACCCTAGAGTAAATGCTTTAAAAATCCTGCCTTAGCATTTCAGTTTTCTCAAGATCCAATTCTGCTGTGCCACACCCACTGGAGAGAAACTGGTCTCTTGTCCCTCATCTCCCCTTCCCCCACCCAGTATCCAGCCTCTAGCTTCTCCTTCCTAGATTTTTGAGAGCTGTGTAACAGCTGTGACTATCTTATTTTCCTTTATGTCTAGCACAAAATAGACACTCAGTAAATATTTGTTGAGTGTATAAATGAATCTTGCCTCCCTCTCCTGCCAATGTCAAAGCTATAATTGGCACAGTAAATCAACTTGGCTTCAGCAACTTTCCCCAAACATTATACAAAACAGAAAGCCCAGAGTGAATAAGACCACTCTCCTGACAAGCAGGATTTGGGGATCAACTTCAGTTCCTTGAAGTCACCCCCTATCCCCAATAGTTTAATAATAGTAATAGTAATAGCTAGCACAAGGTATGTATATATGCCAGTAATTCTTAAGTCCTTTATGTGTATTAATAAGATCCTCACACCAACCCTCTAAGGTAGGTACTATTATTTTCACCCACATGTTAAACATGAGGAAACTGAAGCTTAGAGAAGGTACATAACTTCTCCAAAGTTTTACAGCCATTAAATGGCAGAGTGATGATTCAAAACCGGGAAATCTATCCTCAAAGTCCATGCTCTTAATCATGTATCTGCTAACTCAATATTTCTTTTAAACAAACACAGTGCTTTCCTCAAGAAAACTTTGGTGATGAGTAGAAATGTTTGTCTTATTACATACTCCATTACAGTGGGGGCAAAAGTGGGTAAAGGTGGTAGCAACCTGGGGAAACTTCCTAGGACATCCTGCTTAGTTGTTTTCCTCCACCCACAGCTGATATTTTTTTTACCAACTATGGACTAAACATAAAGGACACAGAAGTAAATAAAAATATAAGATCTTTACCTTTAGTCATATATACTAGCTGGCAAGTCATACAGTAAATAATTCCAAATGAAAGGGGAATGGTGGAGGCAGAGAGGACAGGATACCATGGGAACCCATATGAGGAATCTAACGATCAGAAAATAAAGGAATATTTCCTTGAAGGTCTGATTTCTAAGCTGAGGTCTAAAGGATGAGTAGGAATTAGCCAGGTACAAGAGCAGGAAAGTTGTGTTCCCAACAGGGTGAACAGCATATCTGAAAGCCTGCAGTGTGGCTATAATACAGTGAGGTCAGAAGACTGGAGAGAGAAGAGGTAGAGAGGTTAAGCAGTAGCCAGGTCTTGGATGGAATCCTTGGGGGAAAGTATGGGTGTTGCTATCAAAGACGAAGGAGAGAAAATAACATGGCAAGAGCCAGGCCAAACTAGAATCCGCATGCCCAAACATCTAGTCCCTGCCCTTGGTTTTTCTTTCAGAAAGTAGAATAAGTAACTGGGACTTGCATAGGTCTCTCGAGATTAAAATGGAGTTGAGTAGGGTTTTCTTTGGGGTGGGTGGTTCACGGGGTGGGGAGGAGCTGAGGAAGGGGGCACAAATTCAGGGATAGTCATGGCCCTGAACTAGTATGATACTAGGCAGCATTGTTCCTTCTAACCCTGTAGCCCTGCTGACTTACTCATGAATCTCCTAGGAATCTTAAAGAGGCTAGGCAGTGTCGTAAGCCAAAAGAGTGAGAGAAAAGAGTGAGATGAAATCAAACAGAAAGCAGTTGAAGAGGGTATACATTATTAAAAGGGAATAATAGTTTCAATATTCCTGTCCTTTGTTAAAATGCAAATTTGATTTAATACAACATGTATAAATTTAATGTCAGTATATGTAAGGCATTGTTCCCTAGTAAAATTAGAGTAAAAAAGAGCAAAGGAGCAAAGCAAATTAAATTTAATGTCTCTTTTTCTGTGTATGTTCCTTGTCCAGTTTCTTAGAACACTAAATTCCCATTTATTGAGAGAGAAAGACAGAGAGAGAGAGAGCAAACTAGCCCAAAATTTTCCCCTAAATTCTGCTCTTATGAAAATGGTAAGCAGATATCAAGAATTTATTTCAAAAGACCTTTTCATTTTACATCAGAGTCAGTAAAAATTCAATCCATGTTCTAACTATAAA